GAATAACCCTTTTCCAAGAGTTTCTTTTAAGTATCTCAAGATTATGTGCACAACTTCAAGGTGTTCTTCATATGGTGCATGCATGAATTGACTCACAACACTAACAGAGAAAGCAATGTCAGGATGAGTATGAGCCAAATATATTAATTTTTCAACCAACCTCTGATATCTTGCAGTGTCAACTGGTGTGTCCCCTTTCTCTCAAAGTTTAGAACTTTGGTCCATCAGTGTGTCGGAAGGCTTACAACCACCCATACTTGTCTCTTGTAGGAGATCAAGAACATATTTTCTCTAAGAAACAACAATTCCTTTCTTTGACCTTGCTACTTCCATTCCAAGGAAATACTTGAGGGGACCCAGGTCTTTGATTTCAAAATATGCTTCTAAGTTTCTTTTTAATCTCTACATTTCTATCTCATCATTACCTGTAAGAATAATATCATCAACAAAGACTATCAAACAGTTGTCATTCCATTTTAACCCAACTTTATGAATAAAGTATGATCTGTTTGCCCTTGAGTATATTCTTGTTTCTTCACTGACTGGGTAAACTTTTCAAATCAAGCTCTCGCGGATTGTTTCAACCCATATAAGGACTTCTTTAGTTTACGCACGTGTGACCCAAAGGTTTCTTCAAAACCTGGAGGACAATCCATGTATACTTCTTCTTCTAAATCAGCATTGAGAAGGGAATTTTTGACATCTAACTGATGGAGAGGCCAGTCTAAGTTAGCAGCAATAGATAAGAGTATTCTGATTGTGTTAAGCTTTGCATTAGAAACAAAGGTCTCTGAGTAATATGTGTCATAAGTCTGAGTGAATCCTTTTGCAACCAATCGAGCTTTGGACCTTTTAATTGATCCATCAGAATTGTACTTTATTGTGAACACCCACTTGCATCCCACAGTTCTTTTACCCGTCGGCGGAGTTGTGGCACTCCAAGTTTTATTCTTTTCAAGAGCTTTCATCTCCTCAAAAGCAGCTTCCTTCAACTTTGGAATTTCTAGATCCTCCTCTACATTCTTAGAAATTTTGACACTAGATATATTAGAAGTAAATGCAGAAAAAGAGGGAGACAAGTTTGAATATGATACAAAGTTAGACAACGGGTGACTAGTGCATGCCCTACCTGGCTTCCTAAATGCTATGGGAACATTAAGATCAGTATGTTGTTTTCTAAGTTTTGTAGAGACATCAAGGTCGGTATGTAGAGAATTAAGATCAAGGAGAGATTTACCTGTCTGAGTCAGTTGACTTTCACTTGGTTCGGATTCTTGAATGAGCTGAGGAATGGGATCTTCTACTACTTGATCATTATTTCTTCTGACATAAATTTTACCTTTCCAAATTGGATTTCCTTCCTCGAATCTTTTTTCTATTTCATTATAAGGATCTTTATCTGGTTCATTTCGATCAATTTCAGAAAAAAAACATTTGTTTGATCTTTGTTTTGATTTGTTGCCTCGGATTCTAATTGATCCTTACTCATGAAAAGAGTAGGTTCATATAATTTTTTCAAGGAATTTTCTTTAGGTGCAGATGTACATGGAACAGAATTATGTGATATATACACATATTTTGAGATAATTAAGTTTTCAAACAATTTAGGTGAATACCCCCCCCCCCCCCCGGAAGATGAACATTACCAAAAAAAAAGTAACATCCATTGTTACAAATATTTTCTTTGTATTAGGATCAAAACATTTATAACATTTTTTAGAAGATGAATACCCAATAAAAACACATTTGATTGTATGGGGTTCAAGTATACCAAGATGCTTGTGTTCGTGAATAAAAGTTGTGCATCCAAATATTTTAAGTGGTAAATCAAATAGAACTGAAGCAATTGGGAAATATTTCAAGAAATTTTGCAAAGGAGTTTGAAATTTCAAAACACATGATGGCATACAATTTATTAAATGTGCAGCTGTCAAGACAGCTTCACTCCATAAATATTTAGGGACATTGATAGAGAAGAGTAGTGCTCGTGCAACTTCAAGAAGGTGTCGGTTTTCCCTCTCTGCAATTCTATTTTGTTGAGGTGAGTTAACACGTGAACTTTAATGCATAATTCCATTTTCAAAAAAAAATTCCAACAATTTTATTAAAAAATTTGGTATCATTGTCAGTTCTAAACACTTGTATTTGAGTGTTAAACTATGTCTGCGTTAATTTACAAAAGTTTTGAATTATTTGACCTATCTCATTTTTTTCTTTCAACAAGTATACCCAACAAAGTCTAGTATGATCATCTGTAAAAGTGATAATCTATTTTTTGTTAGATAAAGTGTTTGTTCGATTAGGCCCCCCGAACATCATTATAAATCATTGAAAAGGTTTATAAGATTGAATTGGAAAAGAACTTCGATGATGTTTAGAAAACTCATAAACCTCACATTGAAGTGAAGAAATGTCTTATTCAACAAAAAGTTTAGGAAACAATGAACTTAAATATTTAAAACTAGGGTGGCCTAACCTTAAATGCCACAATATAATGTCATCCTTATTATTTGAAACAAAAAATGATTTAACTGAAGAAAAATGTATTGGTCTCAATTGATGTCTGGTTTTTGGTTCATCTTTTAAGTAGTAGAGTCCACCACTTTCCTCAACAGTGTCAATCGTCCTCTCTGAGATCAAATCCTGAAATACACAATGAGTATCAAAGAAATGAGCTTGATAGTTTTTATTTTTTATTAGCTTACTGACAAATAATAAGTTGCAAGACAAATTTAGGACATGTAACACATCTTAGATGGTTAATAAGGGATACAAAATAATAGAACCTTTTTCCAGTCACGGCTAAAAGAGAGCCATCAACTATTTTAATTTTGGAATTTCCTGCACATGGTTTATATGAAGAAAATAAACTGGATTCATCGGTCATATGATCGATGACTCCAGAATCAACGATCCATGTACGATTAGGAATGACACTAAGATGGACTGATTTTGGAAAGTTGCCTTTATGGGCTATGGAGCACGAAGGTGTTTGAAACTCGAGAAATTTGTACATTTGGTCTAGTTGTTCCTTAGTGAATCGAAATGCATTTGGAGAAGATTGTGGCTCTTGATCAGAAGTTGCTTCAAGTGCACGACCCTCACCCTTATTTTTCCAATTAAGAGGTTTTCCATGAATTTTCCAACAAGTCTCACGTGTGTGACAATAACGTTCGTAGTGATCACACCAGAGTTTACCATCTTTCTTACCATATTTCTTGTCGTCTTTATTGAAGTTGTTTGTGACAAGGACAGAACCATCAATTGTTGAGTTTGACTTTCCCATCATTACTCTTTGTCTAGTCTCCTTCAGTTGGCAGCGAATTATTTACAAGAATTTTACCTCTTACTTCATCGAATTTCTTGTTGAGACCCGCAAGAAAAATAAAGACACGATCGTTATCCTGCGTCTTAATAAACTGAACATTGTCTTCAGTACACCTCTAGCTATAATCATAGCATTGATCCAACTCTTGTCAAAGGGCCATCAATTTATTATAGTAGGTAGTGACATCCATGTCATTCTGCTTTAAATTTCATAATTTTAATTTTAAATCATAAATTTGAGAGAAACTTTTAATATCAGAGTAAGACAGTTTTACAGCACCCCAAACATCATTTGTTGTAGGTAGATACATGTATGTTTTTCTCATACCTAGCTCCATAATATTAATAAACCAAACAATAATAGAAGAGTTTTCAGATTTCTAAAACTTGTAATTAGGATGTGTTGTTGTAGGCACCGGAACATCACCTGTAAGAAAACTCAACTTCCCTTTGCCTTCTAAAATAAGTCAAGCGGTTTGGGACCATTCAGCGCAGTTTGAGCCATCCAATTTCTGAATATTAACCTGAAGAGAGTTATTTTGACCTCCACCTCCTGAATTACTGTAACCACCATCAAATGGGTAGCCATAACCGAATCCAAAAAAGTTGTTGTTGGAATCACATCTGCCATAATCAAACTCACTGTTAAAATTGTTGTTTGTCATGAAATTGAACATTTCTAGCATGGTAAATCCACTTCCTCTGCCAAAATTGACGTTAGCGCCGCCGTCGAAATTGTTGTTGGCGCGACCACCTCCACCTCCTCGACCTCCGAGAGGAGGTGGTGTTTGAATAGGAAAAGTTTTACAATATCACCCTAGTCCTAACACAGCTCATGATACTGTGGAGAAAAGCATATGGGTGATAATTGTCTATATAATTATGAAGAAAAAAGAACTTCTTTTATAAAAGAGAAAATACAAAATCAACTCTTTTATTTTAGGAGTGATATAATGACTCTTAAATAAGAAAATAAATAACACTAAATAAGGAATATTTCAACAAAGTTATAGAAATCACTAGATCTACTACAGCTGACAAATTATTACAATGGAAACCAACTTGCTCTCCTTTAAAGAAAAGCTAGACTTCATTCCTGTGTCATGCCAACTTGTAACAACAGCAAGGGGAGAAACTGCCCAGTTTTTTTGGGCGTGGGTTAAATTTTAAAATTGTTTGGGTAGGGTGAGAAAAAGTCACAAAAAGGGAAGTAAATTGACAGACAAATCTAGTGTAAAATTTCAATTTGATTTTTTTCCCACATCTTGAGATTGAGCATTTGAAATTCAATTTAACCGAAGATTTGTCCTAACACTATCTAAGTTGGAAAAAAATATATTACATAACTGGACTGAAAATGGCATAGAAGTGTCTACAACATACATAGTACATCAAACAAGGAAGATGCAAAAAAGGGCTACAAAAATATCTATTGCACAAATAAGAAGTTCCGAAGAAAATTGATATGTACATAATAATTCCTATAAAAACTGATTAAGTGCACAATAAGAGATAAGAGATCTATAAAGGAAGTGTGATTCACATGCAATCCGTTTGAGTTAAAACACGGACCAATATTCAGAGGCTCTTGGCTGGGAGAAAATTGTGTAGAAATCCCAATTATTTACAAACTCTGTCTATCTCCCGTCAAAGGAAGCACACAAAGAGCAGCTTCAGCGTGTCTCGCGCTTGATCAACCGAGTATTGTAAGAGCCACAAGACCCACATTTATGATACAACCAGTGGAAGCGTGAAGTTCCCTTTCGATCACAGTCATTGCAAAGTATGTCCTGCATGGCAGTTTTTGCATGGCTGTTATAAAACTGATGTAACTCACAATAAATATACAAATTATTTGCATGTAACCTAAAGTGCCAGAATGCTCTCACAAAACCTATATTAGCTTTTGAAAGGAATGAAGTGAAAAGCAACATGCAAAAGCCGCTAAAGTATTCACCTGATATCGGTCCCTATACTCTTCAGGGAGCTCCTCTGCAGCCAACAAGGCGTCAAGCATACCAAAATAAACCTGGGTGGATAGAAAAAGAACAATATGAGTATCTCAAAATGTGTAAAAATGTTACATCTAATACTTTGACTCAACTTGAGAACTTGATTACAATTTAAAAAATAGTAGTTATATTAAACTAGTGAGGTTGTTTTTTTTCTCGGTTGCAATTTTTTTCAGGTCTATAAATAGTTTGTTTTATTAAGAATCATAAAGGACAACAAAGATAGAGGGATTTGAAGAAATATTCTTACCGCCATATCTCCCAATGACTTGCTGCAGATTGGACACGTGTAGTGACTACAAGTGTAGGCCTAATATGTCATAACAAAGAGTAAGATTGAATCCACAACCAATTTCAATTTGTTTGGAAGGGGAGTGAAATTTAAAATGAGTGCAAAATTTACCTGAAAGCAAGCAGAATGCATGTAGTGGCCACAGGGCTGAGCTCTGACTGTAGCACTTGACGTGAATAAGTCGTCACAGCATATTGGGCAGTTCATTTCTAAACCTTTCTCCAGGCACTTATGAGATGATGTTTTAATCCCCAGGCAGCAATTGCATTTCATGCAATGAAAATAATCAATCCCTAGCCCTCGTCCAACACGGCATAAATTGCAAAATGGGCAATGGTATACATTCCTAAACAAAAATGGTGTCAAGTTAAAATTAACAATCTTCTAAAGTTGAGAGACTATAGTATGATAATCATATCTATTTCTTGACACTAATATAGAACAATAACAGTAACTTTAAATATTAATTTTTTTTTTGTGAGAAGTAAATATTAATTTTTTAAGCAGAAATATGTACATCTTAGAATTTGGGTTGGGCCTAACTTCTCCCTACAAAACCGACTTGTAAGGTGAGGATTGCCCCCACTTATAAACACAACACAGACCATATCTCTAAGCAATGTGAGACTAAATCCACCACTTTAAACCCAACACAATGAAGGTGTTTGGAGGCGACTAGGGGCGGACAGCACTGAAGACGTAAGTTCCAACACATCTGAATATAGAGGCCTCAAGATTTAATTCATGCTTAAAAACAATGGGATATTAGTTAGAAAGTGACAGGTATGAGGTCTGCTAATCAGTCAGTTCATTTAGTTAGTCAAAAGAGTTACTTACATAAATAGAGGAAATCATAATAGAGACACTTTTTATTGTATAGTTGTGTGGAAGAAACAAGATCCTTTGTGAAGGGTATTCCTTGGAAAGAATTTTATTTTCCATTATTGTTTAGTTTTCAATAAAATAGTTCCACTCTTTTGATTCTTTGTCTCAATTTTCATTCAAATTAACTTCAAATTTATTGTATAATTTGCTTGGAGGCTTTGGAATACTTGGTGGACATGTTGGGTAAGGTATTTTGGGAGCATGTATCACAAGTTCACAACTATCTGAGATCAAGACAAGGCTCAACGAATTCAATGAGGTATGATGTATTAATGGTGGATGGCGATGGAGGAGGATGGAACCAACCTCTAAGTTCTAGATGGGAGGAAGAAGAATAGAGTCCGAGTACCAAACATATCATGGGTAAGAAAGGTAGAATTTCTTACTTCTAATGAAAATGATCCCGGGCGAGAACTACTAGGGTGGAGAAACTTTGAGATAGAACAAATCATGCCTAGTGAGGAAGTGCAGTTGGTGAACATCGGTATGGAAGGGGCAACAGTACACTTGTTCCGGTTCTAGCATAAAAAGACCCTTTGGTTTAATTAGGAAGGACTAATGTCAGATTTGGTCCAATCGTTCGGATGGAGATATTTGGGAAACCTTAATGAGCAATCATCTACCTAAGGCCAAACAAGTTTTGTGAAGGAGTATGTTCAAGACTGAGACATTAGTGCAAAATAAGGCAACATAACCTCAAAGAATGTTTCAACAAATCAACTTGGCAAGGGTTGTTGAGGAAGAGATATTGACTATGAATGAGATGGAGGATTAATAATATCAACCTTCAAGCCCTGGTTCTAATTATTGTAAAGTAGAGACCATTGCATCACAAGTGGGCATCAACCCAATAGGGCTCACCTACCCTAATTCGAGAGCAGCTTAGCATGGGTCAGTCAAGAGCACCGTGAGCCCAAACCATAATTTACACAAGGATGCATTAAAAGGAATTTCCTACCATGGACTGTAATTATTCTCTAGTGCTCCCAATCAACAACGCTTCACCCTCAAAGCCCATTGTTATGTTGAATGGGCAGCAAATACTGATGGCAGAGATCCACTTCTACTGCTGCCAACTTTATTGATCCTAACTTGATCTCACAGTGGTCTCAAAAGCAAACGGTAGTTGCCAGGTCTAGTAGGTACCTAAACTGAGTATCAAAGCCGTCCTCTAGTTTACGGCAGAACTATTGTGGACACACACCCTACTTTGAGTTAACCATCTCTCCTCAAGTTCCTCTGGTTTTGTGTGATAATCTGAGTGTTGTTGCTCTGGCCACACAACAGTTTTTCATACACGCACTAAACACCAGGAACTTAATTGTTCTTTGTCAAAGAGAAGGTGTTAAACAAGCAGCTAATAGTTCAACATATCCCTGGACAAAATTAAAAAGCAGATCTTCTTACCAAGCCACTATGCCCTGCCAAGTTTTGTTTTCCAAGGGATATGCTCAATGTATCTAAGCTCATTGCATTCTCTCACCTACCTTGAGGTTGTGTGGGTGTATGAGAGAATAGATTTCTCGGATGTTAGTATATTCATAGTTATACAATGCCAGTTATGCTTTTAGCTGGCATTGGTTTGGCTATGTTCAGTTGTCACAAATAGTTAACCTTAATCCAGTCAATAAATATAGTTTGCAAATCTCTCCATTGCAGCTTTTCAATTCAGATAATACAATTGTGAAACATTTTCTATCTAATAATAGTGCATGGGGAAAAGAAAAGTGTCTCAATCATCGTTAAGATTCTCCACTACTAATGTCATTCCATCAAGAAACAGAGGAACTTGATAGCTTCTTTCCGAGGAGTGTGTAAAACGAATGGAGGAAGAGAAACAATTTCTGTGGTCAACCATTTAGTTCCATGCTAAAATGCTTGGAAAAAAGTATGTGATTGGTGCATGATCTTGGCAGAAGATGAACAAGTGATGGAGCATGGGGATTTCAAAAATTTAGAAAGGGGAAGCACAACTGAGAGATTATAAGCCGGAATTCTCTTATAATAAGGATTTCCAATTCCCACCTTGAGGGCTGATAGAAACCATAATTGAACTCATTATTTTCTGTAACAAACTTTTTCTTTTCTCAAAAGTTTGTTACAAAAGAGGACCTGGTCGTTTTTATATTAGCAACCAGGTAACCTGCTATAGCAGGTCAGGGTATGCCAAGCTGACACCAATCAGTCTTGGTAGTTACAAGCATAGACTAGTTATATCTAAACTGTCTTAGTCTTACTCTAACAAGGGCAAAGTGGACTTTCGTAGGGTATTGTTACGATGTGACAAAATAATGACAATTGTTCTGTTAGTCAAGTAGTCCATTTAGTAAGTTACCATTTATTAGTTATCTTAGAACTTGTTTTGCCCTAATTAATCCCAAAAGGTAAAATAGTTTTATTATTTTGAATCCTCTTATCGATTTCCATTTGTGTTTCTCTATTATTATTGATCAACCATATGCCTATCTTTCTTTGTAGTAGTTCACTTGGAGAATACTTTCTCTCCTTAAATTGTTCATAAGTTTGATAAAAGGAAGACGGTAGCAATTTCAATAACAAATTTCGAAGTATGATGTAACAAATAAAAGGTACCTTTCGTCATCAAAAAATTTGCATATACTGCAATAGTACTTTGCCATTGAAAGTGCATTACATGAAGGTGTCATGCAAATAGGCCCAATTGGCTGTATATTCATGCAGCGCATACACATCATTTCTGATGTTGCTTTTCTGTAATGATCAAGCAGATAATAGAAGAATATTAATGGGCAAACTAATACTACAGATCTCCCACCATAGCATAGTCTAGGGATGATAAGTATATACTAAAATATAAGAAATCCCGACAGAAATCTACCTATCCATTGAGTGATCGCTCACATTGTCATGACAAAATCTGCAAGTAAATAACTTGCCGCAACATGCAGCTCGAAGCTTGCAATTTCTCTTATAGTGCTCACACCCAAATACAAGTTTCCTAGGGTCCCGAAATGATGGTGAGTGTCCTTCTATTTCGACACCATTAGATGATCCTTCTTCAGATGGAGCTTTAGGTGATTTCTGCTGGGCAGCTATCCAACGACTGGAATACACAAATAGCAAATCAACAATTAGAGATTGACAACAATAGGCAAAAAAGTCCTATCAAATAAATACATAGTTAATTATGTCCCTATCAAATAAAATCAGAGAATTCTGGACACAGGAAACAACCTTGTCAAAAGATTCTGCACAAGATATGCCTTTCTCCTTGGATCAAGAGTTGAGTCGCGATAAACCTTCCGAATCTCTGACTCAAGTTCAGTCTGATTCATCCGGAATATGTCTTTCCAACCTGGCTTGAACATTTGATCATTGTGGTCCAAGCATTCCTGATACTCAGAACCTGGAAAAGAACAAGACACACTAGAATATTAATTATCGATCGCACGAAATCCACAAAAATGAAAGAAACTATATGCAATTAGAAACCTCTGTGAGAAGTGCTACAATGTGATGTTTCTGTCTGTGTTATAGATTCCGGACTCTCTTTCCAGCATTCATTAAGCCATTCATTGAACATAGTATTCTTAGTTGCCTGCTTCCACGTATCCATCATTTTATTCTGCTCATCCTGTGTAAGTGCAGAAGTTACCCATGGTAACATTGACTGGAGAACTTCAGCACCTGTAGTTCCAATTATCCGGCCTACTATCTTATCTTGTTCTTCCACAGTGAAATGTTTCCCAAACAACGGCCACAGTTCACACTCTTCCCTGAAAATATGCTGATCCAGGGTCACTCTTATGGATTTGCACATCCCCTGAAGCTTTGTTGCAAGTTCGTTATACTTCTTGACATCATCCCTATCATTTGCATCAGAAGTTCCAAAATTACTATCACCCAAATCCCCTGCCATATGGGTCAACTGCAAGGCTTCATGAAGGACAAAAAACTCAGAAAGAACGCAAGAAATATCTTCAAACAATTGTTCTTCTTGCTTATGGTCCAACATGTATGAATGGCTCACATTGTGAAGGGCCTCTTTGGATTCTAATGCTGGAAATACTATATCATCTTCTGCATTACTATGAGCTCTATATAAACCCCACAAAAGACGAAATCTTCCACTAAATTGCCTAATAACTGTCTCATCACTATCACTCAGCTTTCCAGATTCAACATCTAGATACTCCAAGTCTTTGCGTATAGCTTTATGGAATTTAAATATGGTATCAATTGGTCTTTCTGCAGAGCCAACATCACATGAGCTGCTCTCTGCTTCCCATATGAAAAGACTAGAATTAAGAGAAGGAGCAGAAGAGCTGAAAGACAAGGAGCGTAAGGACTTGGTTGTCGAAACTGAACTAAGCCCCAAATTGTTACTGTTTACACCTAAACCTGGTACACAACAAGACCGCGGACTACAGCACTGTTTCTGGATACTTTCAGTCTCCAAAGTTTCAGGTACATCTCCATTGCTCAACTTCAATGTGTTTCGCTTGACTGGTCTTTTGTTGCCATCTGACTCAAGTAATACTGAGCAATGTCTGCAGGATGATGCAGAGGAACAAACACAGGATGGCTGATCAATATCTTCTTCAATATCAGAAAGTCTTTGAGCAGGACAGCAGTCTGAAGTGCCTGAAGACAGACACAGGCCTTCATTACGAGCCTTGCATGCCCAACCACTGAAGAGGGTGACCAGAGCAGAATCTGCTGTTGGAGCTGAAAAAGAATAAGTTGTCAAACATAGACTAACAAAAGAAAAACTCAGAAACACTAATTCTTAAGAAAGAAAGGGGGAAAAATAGAAATAGGATAGGAACCTGCAAATTGCATGTTTCTCAGAAATATATTTGCTTCTTCTTCTGTTAAAGATTTTACCAACCATGGTAGGACTCTCTCAATCAATTTCAGAGGCATCATGCATAAGCTTTGGTACAGAAGTTCACATTGTCTTCTAAAGCTGAAGTGCTTTCTTGCAAGTGGAAGAACCTGTAGATGAGAATGATTATTCACAAGTTATATAGATTTAAAGGGAGATTATTTGATAATATCGTATAAAGGAAACTTTCATGCCATATTTCTCTTCCAATAGAAGTTAGTTAATCAACAAACGGATACAACAGTTGCTTATATTAATCAACATCTGCAAATATGACACTCAAATATCAGCATTTGATTGATCTTCCTGTTGTAATTAACATTGCATTTGCACTACACATTTACATCTTACGCTAGTCACACAAAAAGTTCACCACATGAGCAATGATGGCTCACCTGAACTTCTTCATTATGGAAATGCCTCTGTGTGGTTTCCATTATATGATCAGCATGGGAGCATAACTTGGAATAAAATTCAACTTCTGAATTAGATGTTGCTCCTTCACTTAGAATACTTTCAATCAAACACCGAAAGTCATTAAATTGGCTTTCTTCTTCAGCATGCTCCTGAAAGAAAGAAAACTCTCCATCTACCGCCGGAAAAATAACCTTGTCCTCAGCAATACTGCATTCACAGAAAAAAGAATTTTAGCAGTAAAGGTTGGTGTTTACCATATATTATAGTACGGAAATGTTTAATTTAAGAAACATGCGACTTTAACAAGGACATTGTTAATACAAAATTAACGCAATACCTATGAAATATGCAAACGTCAGCAATGAATTGCAATCTGTCATTAAAAGCTGATATGTCAGTAAAATCTCCGGAGTTTTGTATCCTTCTGGTTTCCACTGCTATCTCACTTAGCTCTTTTTTTATTGCATTATGCCAGAGCAATATCTCATCTATAGGGTGTGTTCCAGTGACATCAGAAACATCTAGTATAGATCCAGAATGTTTCCTTTTTCCAGTTGTTGTGGATTCACATACACAATTGACTCTTCCAGCCTGATGCCTTAACGGGCTAGAACAACATTGAACCTGAGAATAATCTGCACTACTTTGAATTGTATTAACACTACTTCTCCCTTCCATCCAAGTGAAAACAACCTTCAATAAGCAAGAATTAGGTATATTAAGATTACACTTCAACCAAACAGTAACCGACCAAACAGTAACTATAGTTTTCCTATCATGTCTACTCATAAAAACTTCTTTTACATTAATAGCACTATTGGGCTGTAATTTCCTTGACTTCTTATTCTTCCTGGAGTAGACTCTCCTTATCAAAGAACTGCTTATACTTCCTCCGCCTCTAAATATATGACCCTCTAGAGATTTTTCTTTGTCCCTTTTTATAGGATCCCTTTCTAATTTTCATCTGTTTTAATTATTTCGTTATCAACATACCCATGATTATGTAACATCTTTTTCTACAATTTATAATAAATACTATGATAAAAACATAAACTATTTTTTCTCCAAAAGGGTAAACTTGTAGAACAGTATCAATTCTCAACAAATCAATACTGCCTGTCAATGTTCTTAATTCTTGTGATTTGATCAAAGGTTTAGGGAAGGGGGTAGCAATAAATTGAACCATCAGCTTTAACACAAAAAGTGACATAATTAACTTAGAAAATAGGACAACAATGTTCTAACGCAGCATTTGAAACCACACCTTTTGAAGAAGCCTTTCCTCTGGCACAATCTTGACTAAGAAATCTCGTAAGTCCTGAGATTCATCTGCTGATATAGATGTTGAAAGCCAGGGAAGAAATTCTGCCATCATATTCACAGGAATACTGCAAAGAAACTGCCAAACTAGGGATGATTGTTCCTCAAGAGAGAACTTCTCAATAAGCAGAGGAAAAACCTGATAAAGCCCAACAAACAAAAAATGAGAAGCATCCTCAAACAAATAAGATTATTTATTCATTTAAACTACATGGCTATGACAAATGTTACAATAAATACTTTTGTACACCATATTAGTAAACGGATATCTGTTATGCAAATTTTCTTAAGGGTGAAACTTGATTGTGTTATCCATCTAGCATATTAAACCATTCCAAAATATATAGATCACTATATATGAACCGCACAATTAATATCAGCAAGTGACATCATCAAAGAAAGGTTTTATGTATAATTAACACATTGATGAATCACAATAATATTCAATGCATGCGGTGGCACAAATTCCACATGCAATGGAAACTATGTAAAACATTTTTGTAATGCATTCTTGAGTTCGATTTTAGTAGTAATAAATATAATTATACAAAATACTCATTTACCCGACTGAAGTATTGGCAGTTGAAAATTTTCAAACAAGCAATAGGATTTCTAATAGACCCTAGAAAGATGTATAGCTCAGTATAGTATTAACTGTTATATAATATCTGAATGATATAGAATAGAACAACAATGGATGAGGCTACTACTCCTTGCAGTAATGACAATTACAAAGAAAACGAAAACTATATTCCCACAATGAGAATATCACTATACTCCCAGTCCCTAATTCTACTCTAAATCCAGCCTCCCCCACATCATGTGTGACCTCCCCCTTTTGACATCTCTCTTGTCACTCCCATGCTTCCCTCCACTCCTTGATTGCCACGTGTGCAGTTAGCTATGCCCTCTTATTCCCTTTTTTACCCCTCCTCCTATATACAAACTTCATAGGTCTATCAATTTCCCATTTAGCAACCGCATAATTTGATCTTTGAAATACTTGTTTATCAAGGAAACTTACAAATGTGATAACAATAGCAATGTTAGTTTATTAATTAATGCTACATTATGCTGACGCGAGTGGCACTCTAACACCTGGAGGATCAAATTCAATGCAGTTATTGCTTCCATTTGGAAGGCTATTTAATATGAGAATCCCCGCCTCCCACGGCCATATTCAAACTCAAAGTGACGAAAGTATAAACAAAGGAGTCATCTTATAACTATAATCTTCAACAGATATACCTAGTTCGAATTTTAACAGCATCTCAATGTTCCAACCCTCAGAAACGCGGTTTTTCTTGTTGGGGGTGGGAATAAACAAGAGGGAAGCAAGAAGAAGTGCTTTGAAGATTTCATATAGTAGGTATTCATAACCGAAAAACAATAAATACCATCTTGTGTACATTAATAAAGCAATTTACAATCTAGTTAAAATAACAAGCTTTAACATATAAAACCTGGACGAACTTAATTGATTGTTGTAGGTTTTACACTTGACTACTCATGCTGAATCACCAAATGATCCTATATTGTTGCGCTAAAAGAAATATTGTCTACAAGAACATTTAATCCTTCAATTAAACAAAGCACAAATACATAAGTATACAGCAATAAAATGTGATATGATTATATAGTTTTAACACATTAGCCTGTTTGGCACAGAGCTGCGATATAATAGTTAATAATAGAGAGAGGACCTTTATCCTCCAAACTCCTTGTAATTATCTTCTCTTCATCTTGTTTTTAATCAATAATAATACTAATAATACCAGAAATTCTAGCCTGAAGGAAAAAAAAAAAAAAAAGCATTGTGTTGGAGAAACCATATAATCTCTCCCTATTTAATCCTTTTCTATATTTAGTCTTTTTTAATATAATAATATTCTCCTAAAATTAAGGAGATCATGAAGTACTAATCTCCCTATTTATACCAGCTATTGCTGAAAAATGAAGTATAATAGTATTCCCTATTTTCTAATACATTGCTTGGTATTTATCTATCTCATCATGAGAGTCCAAGTGGAATACTAGAAAGAGCTAATAAATAACCTTGTACCTGTTCCTCTTCCTTTGCCAAGTGTTGACTAACTGATGTCTGTAAGGCTCCTGTGCAAGATGCTAACTCTCTTGGAAAACTTTCATCATTCTTGATGGAAGAATTTAACAGCTCAAATAGATGATCAAAAAGATTGCTTTCACCCTTGTGCTCAAGAGAATAAGTTTTTGCAACATTCTTCACACGTCTATCTAGAGCGGGAAAAATCACCTACATTCCAGAATACATTTCTCTCATAACATTTGAAACAAAGCAGAAGTGATAAAGATTGATAAAAGCCAAATTAATTCAATAATGCTTTGTTAAAAGACTGAAAAATCAACATGCAAAGCATATAGCTTTATCATTGTAAAAAAAATAATCAAACTCTATCAAGATATTTATCCGAAATTCAAGACAAAACAAACCAAACCAAAATGGAAGATTTAATCATTTAAATTAGAAAATAAAGTACTTCCATAAAAATGTAACAAACAACTGTCTGTCAAAGAAAGATCATTTCATATAGATTGGGAAAAACTGAAACTAGTTTATGTTCCACACACTGTTTTCTAACTACATCAACTTCTTATAAAAGCTCAATTTAGTAATGAATTAGCACTACATTACCATTACTATTTGCATTAATCCGGTCTTTCTCCTTTTTCAAATACATATCGTTTAATCAGTATTACAGTAGCCTATATAGCAACAAACATGTGAACAATCCAGCAATAGCACAATTCTAGGAAGTTTCTGCAAAATACTTTGCATACAATATCTATATCAGAAATCTTTCCATTGGGTTAATACTTAAAAAATTAGAAGGAGTCATATCTGAATTTTATTATCGACTTCTCTTATCAACTGAGAAAACCAAACACTATCTACTTGAACTATAAATACCACTGTGATGAGAGAAGGATAACTACTGTTTCAGTTCAATTTTAAAATATTCCTTAGCACTTGAAGTTAGCTTCTTCCTCGAAGCTAAAGTGTTGTATATATATATTACAGTTTTCCTTTTTTACAGTGTCTTTTCATGAATACTAACAACAACAACCAAGTTGTATCCCACTATGGGAGGTCGGCTACATAGATCAACTTCTATTATAATATTCTATCTAGGATCATGTTTTTCTCCAAATTATTAATCTCTAAATCTTTCTTAATAATTTCTCTTATAATATTCATAATTCTTCCTCTACCTCTATCTGATTGACTCCTCTCCATCTCATATACTCTCCTTACAACATAATCTACATGTCTTCTCTCTTCATGCTCAAACCACTTAAGTCTATTTTCCACCATCTTTTCTACTATAAGTGTTATCCCACCGCTCTCTAATATAGTAGTCATTTCGAATCTTACCTTGTCTACCACTCATCCAATGCAACATCTTCATCTCTGCTCGTGTATATTTTTAACCACCCGGCATTCTTCCTCGTACAACATCGCATTTCTTATCCCAGTTTAATAAAATTTTCCCTTCAGTTTTAGCAATACCTTTGTCACATAAAACTCTTGAAACCAACCTCCATTTCAGCCACTCTACATGAATTCGATGCTTTACAACCCTTTCTATATTTCCATCGCTTTGTATTACGGAGCAAGATATTTAAACGACATGACTTGAAGAATGATGTGGTCTCCAACTTTCACCTCTGGGTTAGAAATGCTTCTCGTTTGCTGAACTTACATTCCATATTCTCAGTCTTACTTCTATTTAGACAAAAGTCATGTGTTTCTAAAGCTCATCTTCAATTTCAACCTCTCATTTAAATCCTCATTTGCCTCTACTATATCATCTACAAAAAAGTGTGCATTTCGGTGCTACGTTGTGTTGTGTTCCATGAGTACATCCAAAATTAAAAACTAAAGTAATTTCATGAATAGTAACCGAAGATTAAATTAAATAAGAATAGCAAAGATGCATAGCAAGCAAATGAATTAGTTCAGTATATGCAAAAAACATTTAGACCTAAATTTAAAAGCGGAAAAGGAAAATAAAAGACATAGAGAATAAAGAAACAAAAGCATTATTCCATTTCTTCAACGAAAATACACTCAACTAACAAAATCTTGAGTTTCTACACGATTTCTCTCACCAACGGAAATATGATTATACAGTATAAAAAAATGAAGAAACTAGGAAATAGAAAAAAAAGTTGAACCGAGATTTGCACCTCATCTTCAGCATTGGAGTGGTGTCTATAAATGGAACTGAGAAAACGATAACGCTCGAACAGCGGCTGAATATCAGAGCGATTACCGGTGGCAAATGCCATGGCTAATCGGTGCAAAATGTCAAGCTCATTCCGAATCGCTTTATGAAAGAACAAGAAAATCAAAATCGGTGAATCGAGTTTCGAGCACTTCAAACCGCCATTAAGAACCGAAGACGAATCGACCTTGTTCGCCGAGTTCGTTAGAACCGCTACACCTCCGCCGTCTAACGGCGTCGCCATCTGGTAGCTTAGTTTCCTCGAGAATTGCGCGTTAAGATATTTTGGTATTTGTTTCCTTTTTCGTGAGTTTTATCATGTGTTCATTTCGTTTCTCTCTCTGTGTGTACGGTGGCAATGACAGTTTCGGTGAGAAAGAAAAATCGTTGGAGAGAGAAACTCTTCTTCTCTCTTTCTCTCTCTAAGTCGTTTTTGGTGATAAGCGAGTGGAGATGAAGGAAGGAAAGTTTGGTTTTGGTTACGACGATAAGAGAGAGACCCTACTAGAAGCGGGAGTGCGAGGGAGGGACAAATTTATATATAAAAGGCCCCATTGCCACGTAGGATCATCATGTCTCTTGCTGATTTAAATGAATGATTATAGAATAATAATAGGAGTATCAAGTTAATGCACATTATGATTTAGTTATTTATATGGATTTTAATAGTATCATTATGTAGTGTAAAAATATTTAAATGATTAGTTTATCATAATTAATAAATTTTATAAATATTTAAATTTTAAAATTAATTGTTTTTAAAATAATACGAGGTTAATAGACATGCATATTAACCGTTTGAAATAATTTTATATGATCTCCTCGTAAAAATTATCAATTTTTCATGTCATTGAACTCATTTTAATGTATCTTCATGAGGCTTCCTACCGATATGTAGAACACCACGATTCAACAAATTCTGAATGTCTCTCTTAACCAAGGCACAATCCTCGAGATTCTACTTGTAAAACTAAAAATCTGAATGATCAACAAACAAACCAATTTGGCATAATCTGGCAGGCACATCAACTAGCAGAGTTCTTATAAAACGTACATTACGAACCACATACAGACCTGGACATTCTGCTACCATATTGATAAAAGATTCACCATGCATGGATAAAGGATTAGCTTGAACATTCGGGTCAACATCTCGTAATAACAAAATACCACTCTTGATAAGCTTTTGAACTTCAACCTTCAAAGCAAAATAATTTTCAAGATCATGACCCGGTGCACCCTGGTGATAGGCATAACTAGCCTCTACTTTATACCACTATAGGGGTGGATTTGGAATAGCTTGTGGATCTCTAGTCTGAATTAGCTTCCTCTTAATTAAAGTTGGATACAACTCTGTATAGGTCATCGAGATATGATCAAACTGAGTCTTTTTAGGCACACAAGCTTGCTGATTACGTTGTTATGGAAACTGTGGTTGATAAGTCTGAGCAGCAGGCGCTGAATTGACTACTAGAGTTACAGCGACAATCTAGGTTTGTTGATAATGTTGACGATTGTTCCCACCTATGGATCTTCTTTGCCTCTCTTGAGAAATGGTGTTAGAATCTCCTTCTTTCTTCTTTTAAAAACCACTATCATACTTCTTCGCTCCACTGGACGAACTTCCATCTTTAGACAACCATCCTTCTCGGACACCTTCTTTTAAACTGACTTGCATACCAACCATCTCCTTAAATTCGTTGGGAGCACTGGCAACCATCCTTTCATAATAAAAGGAACTCAAAGTCTTCAAAAACATCTTTGTCATCTCTTTCTCTTTCATTAGAGGATTAATTTGAGCAGCAACTTCACGCCACCTTTGGACATACTCCTAGAATGATTCCTTATCTTTTTGTAACATGGCCCAAAGCTGGTCACGATCAGGCACCATATCCAGATTATACTTGTATTGGCAATAAATGCTTCAACAAGGTCATTAAAACAAGTGATATAAGCGTTGTCAAGCCCCGTATACCACTTCAATGCAGAACCAATTAAACTATCTTTAAAGTTGAAATTCTGGTTATTAGAACCCGAATGTCTAAGAGATGTCGACACAACGGATTCGACTTCACACACAATAACAAGATGTATAGACAAAATATAACGGTGCTAAAAGTAAATAACATAGAATATATTTACTCAGTTCGAAACAACCTTTCTACTCTAAGGACTACCAAGATAGGGACGAAATTAGCTATATGGTATTAATTTGTAGACCTCACAGCAAACATCCCAGTTTACAGCCTACGTACTTAATCACTGCCCTTTTCTTAACTTCTACCTAAGACTCACCTAGGTATGAAGCCCTCCTCAAATCCCTCTTCAAATACACTCAACAGTTAGAGCAACTCTAAAACCAGTAGAGAACAAAAAAAAAGGAAGAAAACACTTCCAAAAACACACACAACTCAAAGCTTAAAAGCTTATGAGAATTGACACACCAATGCTCAATGCTTAACAACTTATGAGCATCTGACACACAAATGTTCAATGCTTAAAAGCTTATGAACATCTGACAGAGAACTTACAATCCAACAATTAAGATTCTAAAACCCTAACAAAAATACACACCTAAGTTCTACCTAATACTAGGTATACACCAGTCTATTTATAACTTCATTCTGGACTGGGTTAGGCTTCAAAACCACAGCAATGAGGTTGCACAAAGTTTGCAAAAACTCCTCCAAGAATATAGGTATTCAATCATTAGTTTCCTAAAAGTCTTCATATTTAAAAACTAATCAAATCTTCAAAAACCAACACCAAATATACTGATTTGTCAATCTTGGACGCCACATAAGCTAACTGAACATTCCCTGAATATTCAGTAGCTAATAATCAGCTGATCTACAATTGTCAGCTTATTGCAGACGTAATGTCATATCTCCTTGTTGGGACATCTTGCTTGACACGTTGAAGACAGAATGTTGGAACATCTTATTCAACATGTTGCTGCTAAAATGGTTTTATCAAAATGTAAGCTAATCATAATTTCAGAGAAATAACAATCTCCCCTTTTGGCACATTTTGGATAAAACACCCAAACAACCCTTGCACAATAAAATATGCTTAAAAATAGATCAAACATACACATCATAGGTACAACAGCAGAAAAAACATATGCAAGGTTAGCAGCACAGAAATAAGCAGCACACACATCAGATAGTTAGTAGTTAGTGGATCTACTAACATAGTTGCACAAAAAAATAGAGAACTTAAGTTCTCACACCATGATGTCAAGACATCATGTCTGACATTTCTTCAGAACAGCAAGAACTCCCCCTCAATACCTCATATCACAAAATAGAGAATCATAATTCCCCCCCCCCCCCCCCCCCCCTCAGTAGAAGCATCAGCTAATGCCAAGTCCAACACCATTAATATCATATTACTCCCACTTTTTAGCCATAATATGACAAAGGTAGTAGACAACATTAGCACAAATTTAAGCACTTAAAGTTTTAGTAGTAGGGTGAAAAAATTCAAAATTATCCTGGGTATTTATCCCTTACATAATCATACACCAAAATAAATAGAATCATAAGATAAATCCAAGCAAAATATCATAACCAACTACCATGCATTAACATCTTCTTTTTCCTCGAAAGCACTGGAAGAATGTTCATTAGGTGCAGCACCATACTTAGCAACCTCAACACAAGATGCAGAACCAACAGTAATTTCTATAACTCCTCATAGATACAGATCTCAAGTCTCCTCCTTAGGTTCTCGAACTGAGCAGCATCAAGAGCTTTTGTAAATATATCAGCAAGCTAATTCTCAATATTGACATGCTCAAGCTTAATGATTTTGTCCTCCACAAGTTCTCTGATGAAGTGATGTCTGATGTCAATGTGCTTGGTCCTACTATGCTCAATAGGATTTTTGGAAATATTTATAGCACTTAAATTATCGCAAAATAATATCTTAGCATCTTGTATGACATTATATTCAGACAACATTTGCTTCATCCATACCAATTGAGAGCAGCTGCTTCCTGCTACTATGTACTCAGCTTCAGCAATAGACAGAGAAACACAGTTTTGCTTCTTATTAAACCAAGAGATCAAGTTGTTGCCCATAAAGAAACATCCTCTAGAGGTACTCTTTCTATCATCAGCACTTCCAACCCATTCAGCATCGCAAAATCCCAACAATGAGGAATTTGTATCATGGGAGTACAACATACCATAATCACATGTTCCATTCACATACTTCATAATCATTTTAACTTGGTTAATGTGACTTGTCTTAGGTTTTGCTTGATATCTTGTACATACTCTGACAAAAAATGTGATGTCTGGTCTACTAGCAGTAAGATATTGAAGACTACCGATCATGCATCTATACAAACTTTGATCAACACTAACTCATTTTTCATCTTTGGTTAACTTCAGGTGTGTGGGAGAAGGAGTCCTATTATGTCTTGCATTTTCCAACCCAAACTTTTTCACAATATTTCTTACATATTTGCTCCAACAAAGAAAAATGGAGTCTTCCATCTGCTTGACTTGCAATCCAAGAAAGTAAGCCAGTTCACCTATCAAACTCATCTCAAATTCATATTGCATCTGTCTGACAAAATGTTGGACCATGTCATTCGACATTCCCCCAAAAACCATGTCATCCACATAGATCTGAGTTATTAATAACTTTCCAGCTTCATCTTTGACAAAGAGTGTCTTGTCAATTCCACCCTTTCTATATCCATGACTCACTGGGAATTAATTCAATCTTTCATACCAAGCTCTTAGAGCTTGTTTCAGTCTGTACAAGGCCTTCTTCAGTGTGAACACATGATCTGGAAAGGAAGGATCAACAAACCCTTTTGATTGTTCAACATAAACCTCTTCGTTCAAGTACCCATTTAGAAAAGCACTCTTGACATCCATCTGATATAGCTTGAATCTTAGATGACAAGCTACACCAAGCAGCAATATAATAGACTTCAAGCGAGCCACAGGAGAAAATGTTTCATCAAAGTCTATTCCCTCAATTTAAGTGTACCTCTGAGCAATCTTTTTGGCTTTATTTCTGATGACACCTCCTTGTTCCTCTGTCTTGTTCTTGTACACCCATTTTGTCCCAATGATATTCATCCCTTCAGTTCTTGGTACCAAATCTCAGTCTTCATTTCTTTTGAACTGACCAAGCTCATCTTACATAGAATTGATCCGGAATTCATCAATCAAAGCTTCCTTAACATTTTTAGGCTCAATCTTTGACACAAAACAAGCATTT